ATATATATATTATAATATGTATAATATATATATAAGTACGTAAATATCTTACAATTCGTATTATTCCCGTGAACGATATATATATAAATGTATATATTATATATATTATACGTATTATAAATATGCCTAATTTTTAAAATCACTATAAAAAATACACGATGAACAACGAGAAAAAAAATCTAAAATATTACTTCCGTCCATTACATTATATATAAATATATATATATATATTAGGTACGTAAATATAACAAATTAATATGTTTAACTAAATAGGTTTTTGTACGCTATGCCACTAGTCTGGCGTTTAAAACTAAGTGTTTATACATAAATATATATATATATTTTTTTTTGTATGAATATATAATATATAAAAAAATGGTACACCTAAATATTAATTAATTACACGCTAAACTATTTGAGCAATATATAATAATAATGATAAAAATAATATAATAAGATAATATAACATCATTTTATTCATTTTTTTTTCTCAGATATTATATGGAGGAAAGGACGTGAATTTCGATTTTCCCCGAAATATTACAGTACACACGAGTGAAATTGAATAAAATCCATAATACTAAAGCGCACAGAAAAGTATGTGAAAATAAAACTGGAACAGAGCTAAATGTACCTAATATATTATAATGATAAGTGTATAGATACAAGATCCGTTGTTAGACTATATTATTAACATAGATAGTTATTAATTTGGTGTTAGTTTTGTATAGGTATAATATATATAATATTATATTATGTCATGTCTACTTAGATACTACTCCCAACAACGGTGGAAACACATGCAATCGGCATAAACTACGATTTTTTTTACGAGCTACGGATAGTAGAAGTATAATAATATAGTAATTAATGTATTAGGCTGGTTTTGCAGAAAAAAAAATAATTCTAAAATTTGTCAATTTTTTTGATTGATAGTGCTCGTCAATTTTCACTTTTTTCCTATTGTTATTATTTACAAGCGATGCACCGCTTCGCCAGAGGGTCTGTTGAACAGTCAAGTTCTCATCGGTTTCTAAGACGATCGTAATGCGATGTTATATTGTTATATACGATACTACGGTAGTACAGTGTCCGGTCCTGTCGTCTGTAAGAAAAAAAAAATTTATATACCATACTTACCTACGGCACGGTATATGGTTATAAGATAATAATATATAATATGTCTCGGGAGACCGAAGCCGGCAGCTGCTGCTGTCGCGGTCGAAGTTGTCCTTCGTCGTTGTCGCTGAAGAACTAAACACAAAATCGTACACACACCCATCACACTTAATAATATCAATACTAGTCACTAAATTTTTTCGATTTTCGCCAAATTCGCAGTAATATAGGCTTCTAATTAATTATTATAATGTTATGCGTAGCTGATATAATACAGGTATTATTGTTGTGATACAAAGCGCCGACTAATGATAATAATAAAATGTATATTTTATGTACTGCTGCAAACGTTGTTAATAATATCATTTTTCTGTTCTACAGGTGTGAAACACGGCCGCCGATGTCATATTATTATTATCGTCTCCGGACACCGCCGGTCGTTTGTTCCAAGCGGAATAATAGTAGTAATAATAATACGAAACAACAGCGATTAGTAATATCATAAAATATTACCAAACGTTATTATTATTATAATATTATTGTTAATGCTCCAAGTCGCAACGCGGGCCATATACAATACAAGGCGACACGAAACAACAGTACATTATTTTCTACGCCACACCACAACCCGTTACCGCAAATCCAACAGTTATATATATAGTGAGTAAAAACAAAAACAAATTTAAAAAAAAAAATTCTAATATCGTACCTACTTAGTGATATAAATATATTGTATTATATATATTTTTTTTTTTTCGTTCTCGTCGGCTGTATTATATACCCGAGCGATACTGTCGGAAATAGGCGGTGGTATGCAAATGTGTATAAATTATTAAATAATTATTATTATTACATGATGATAATATTATTGTATATACGTGAAAAAAATTAAACTATTTCGTTCAACACGTTCTGTCAAAACCAAAATGTCGTTTTCATTTTTTTGTTTTTTCGTCTGCTAGCAGCATAACATAATATTACACAACATTATGTATTGTATCATCGGTAATAATAACATCAGCAACGACAATAATGATACTGCTACGTATTAATATAATATGTACGTATAATATATTATGACGTGTAGTCGGGGTTAATTTCAGCGGCACGTAATTAATATACTATTGTTATTACGACGCGAATATGTATTTTAAGTCCATACTCGGCAGCCGTTTACGTATTATTTATAATGTATCGTATATTCTTCTAATGGGTTAGTAATATTTTTAACTACTTCAAACAACAACAACAACAACAATAATAATAATAATAACAACAGCAACAACAACGGTTAGGGTTAATAATGATAATAATATAATATCATCACTCTACTGTCTAAATAATAATATTGTATGGTCGGTGTGTACAGACGGCTTCTATAATTGTAATAGAACAATTATTGAATAATATGTATATCAGTGTGTAACACACACATAAACACACATACTCGTTAGATGCTGGAAAGAGGAGTGGGTGAGGGAGAGAGACGAGTCTCAGCCCTAAGGACGGACCGTACGCGGCGATATTACCTACATATCACTCGCGCCCGGTCATACTCATGCAATATATTATTATATTATGTATTAGTATATAGGTAATAGTACATATTTAGATACATAGATATTGGTATTATAACAACATTACGGTAGTGTGGTGTTAGGATGGTATAATAATATAAGATTGTTGTTTTTTTTTTTCTTAAATACAATTATTTACTCTGCTCGAATATATATATATAGACATATAGACATATACATATTATACAATATAATATGTATATAAATATATGCACACACACATATATATATGGATTAAATAATAATGATCTAAAAAAAAAACAACTAAAAAATTAAATTGAAAACTTTTAAATTAAATAACCAAAAGCGGATCGGTCGGATTTTCTACTGACAAATACTACTTTTATTTATTTCCGTTTTATAATGTAAACAACACAGCATTTTTAAACATTTAACTACTAGAGTGCGTAAAGAACTAAATTGTTAATAAAAAATAATAATAATAATAATGATAATAATTGTAAATAATAAAAGAAATGAAGGATCCACGTATATAAGAGGTATCTAATACTACTGTTAATAATTTTTTTTACGATTTTTCATCTATACGTAGGACTACACACGAATATATAGTAGAGAACATCTACACAGAAACTAAATAAATTAATAATAATAATAATAGTAATAATAAAAAAAAAATGTCAAAAAGTGTACACTTAAATACTTCTTACAGCTATATATTTTTTTTTAATAATAAATAGTAGTTAATAATATTACTCTACAAAAAAAAGTACTAAACTAAAAAATACTGTTAAAATACACACCAAGTCTAAATGACTTCGACATTAAAAATATACACCTAGAATAGGTTTAAATGTACTAAAAAGTCTAGGTCTAGGATACGACACAAAACCGGAGTATGTAAAAGCATCGCTAACCCTCTTTCGTATAATTGCTTTGTCTTCCTTTTTATTAACTCTCAAAATATTACAAAAATAGAGGGCTTACCACTAGAGTAAAACTATACTAAAAAAAGATTTAAAAAAAAAATATATATAAATAAACAAAGAGATCAATAACCTTTTAAGTATTATTGCTTTACATACATATAATAATGTTCTAATTAGTATTGTCCAGTCGAATCAGTGCTTTTCGTAACTTTTACTTGTTTAATTCTAACAAACTAAAAACTAAAACGCGCTGAAAAATTAAATTATTATATTCATAGTAGATAATATTATACGTTTTAACTCTTTTAGTGTCTAACTAAATATTGAACTCGTGAGATTTTCATTACTTAGACAATAAAAAAAAAAAAAAACAAAAAAAACAATGTACGATTGATCACTAAGGCGGACAGCTAAAATTAAATTGTTGAACAACTCCAATGTCTTGTTTTCTACTGATTTAAGTACACAATAAGTAGTGAGAAAATAAACAAAAAAATATATACATATCATAAGAATTATTGTTTTTTGTTATACATTTTCGTACTTTATATTTTCTCTCTAAGTTAAACTACTATACTATAGCGAGTTAGTAAATCTGATTTTAAAGAAGCGTTTGATATAAGAAGCGAAAGATTTATAATTAACATGTATATGCATGTATACACATATTATATACAAAATTTAAATATACGTATACATGCATAAAGAGAGAGAGAGAGAGAGAGAGAGAATGAAATATATAGAGAAAAGAGAATATAATTTATGAAATGGTATTTAAAAAAAATTGTCATGATGTATGCTTGTGAGCTTTGGTCCTTAATGGAATGTATTTTCTCTACTGATCATTGGAATTTTTTTATTAAAGAGCAAAATAATACATTAACTAATTAATTAATTACACGTTATTTAGACACTAACCACACTACTATTAGAAAGTTGAGAAATATTAAAAATTAATAATAATTATTGATAGTAATAATAATAATACACAAAAAAAAAAAATAATAATAATCAATTAATATTAATGATAACTCTGACTAGAAATCGTTAGTTTTAATCCGATGAAAAAATAACTCACGACAATGAGGCAGTGGTATGGCACACGCGCGGATTGATCTCCGAAGATCTGGCTGTCAGCCTCGTCGATTTTGAATAAAAAAAAAAACAAAAAAGATAATGAAACGCGGTTGGGCATGGGTGGGGATGAGGAGGGTTTAGTTGGGATTTTTTTTTAGATTTTTTTGGTTGAATATTAAAAAAATAATTTCAATGATAGAATGTATCTGAGCAACAAGAGAATGTTTTTCGTTTTATTTTTTTGTTCGGTTTTCTCATTTACGCGAAAAAAAATTGACCTGACCAACACACAACATACAAACAGCACAGGACGCGCGCAATAAGGGTTGAAACGGGCCTAAACGTACATGCCGCCCATGCCATACATGGACGACCAGTCGATGCCTTGGAAGCCACTCATGTCGATGCCGGACAGGCTGTAGGCCGGATACGCGGCCTGCGTGGCCGCGGCAGCTGTGGGCACCGGTTGCGGGGCGGCGGCTGCTTGCTGCGGGGCCGCAGCTGCGGACACCGGCACTGGATACGGGGCGTAACGGTAGCTGGCCAGTCCTGGGTAAGTGGCGAACAGCTTGTTGTAGTTGTGCGCGGCCACCGCGGCCGCGGCCGCTTGAGCCTGCGCCTGGGCCTGTGCCTGAGCTTGTTGCACTGCTGCCAGCTGGTGGCTCGCCTGCGACACCGGGGCGGCTGCCACACGGACGCCCAGCGGTCCACCGACCAACACAGGGCGCTTGCCCAGCAACAGGCCTGCGGCGGCCGCGGCCGCTGGCTGCACCAGTTCCTTGGGCTGCGCCTTCTTGCATTCCACTTTCTTGTTCTTGATCGTATGGAAGTGGATCTCGCATATCGTGTCCACTATGTCATCATTCTCGAACGTGACGAACCCGAAGCCACGGTGACGTTTGGTGTGTTGGTCCATCAGCATCACCGTCTCCTCTACCTTGCCAAACTGGCTAAAGTACGCCTTTACCTCGTCAGCGGTGGTGTCCTGGCTGACGCCGCCTACGAATATCTTCTTGGTCTTACTGCCGGCCTTTGGGCGATTCTTGGGTGTCGCGTGCTTCGGGTCGATCTTCTTACCGTCCAACGTGTGTATGGGCACGGCTAACACCTTCTCCACCGTTTCAGCGTCAGAAAACGTGATGAATCCAAAACCACGACTCCTCTGCGATAAAAAAGATACCAAAAACACAATATAGTCATTACATTTTATTCGAGGGACAAACATAAATATATAATATATTAAGCTTCCCGACGGCCAAAATTCTTACCTGCGTGATGGGATCCTTCATGATGAGCACGTTGGTCACATCACCAAACATGCCGAAATACTGTTTGAGCTTGTCGGCCGACGTCTGCCAGCTGAGTCCACCGACGAAGAGTTTGGCCGAAGTGCCCTCGGTACTGCTGTTTGGCGTTGACCGGCCGCTGGGCGATGGTGCCGAAACCATTTGTTCGACCGCCACGGAGCCATTTTGTTTGCCGCCGCCGATGATGGCCTGTTGTTGTAATTGCTGTTGCTGTTGTTGTTGTTGTTGCTGTTGTGCGGCCACCACAGCCGCGACGTCTTGAGCCGACTGATTGCCGTTTTGTAGCGGAGAACCCGCCTTGTTGGCCGCCGACACCGCCGTCGGTTGAGGCTGAGCGATTTTCACCAGGCCCGGTAGAGGGCCGCGCACCGACTGGTGGTGCGGGTGCAAGGCGAGCGGCACCGGTGCGGCGGTCATCGGCTGCGGCATGCCCATGCCACTTGCGGCCAGCATGCCACTAAAGTCAGCCGCGTGTTCGGCCAACGTAGCCATTTGATCCACTCCCAAACTATATGGAAAAAAAATATTGTGTTAAATATACAAAAATTGTAATGACGTTATTAGGCCGTTAAGCGCGAATTATGTTATTTTTCGTTTTGCGTTTTTAATTATTTTTAATAGTTTTTTTTTGTTTGTATGTCTACAGGTGAATAATTGCGATCGTAATATTTATTATCAACGCAAGAAGTACGGATAATAAACAGCAATATTACGGCGACATACAATCATTATCAACAACAGCTACGTCACAACAACAACAACAACAACATAAATGGTAAGTCTACGCAAACTTTGCTCTAATACGTAAATAATAATAATATGTATAATAAAAAAACCAGCTAAAAATCGTTTATAACAATGTCATATCTCGTATGTGTGCTTCGCAGGGTTTTGCAGACTACAAAATATAACGTACAAATGCCTAGGAGAGAGACACCCATCGACGAAATACTTTTTACGACAAACGACGTTTAATGGATAACACTCCGATATTGTCCTGTCACAGCAGTAATGTCACGTATTTGAATCGTACTGCTGTCGCGGGACATTTTCGGAGCTGTCGTCCGCATGAGCGACATTCATCTCTCAATGATGCATACCAACAACAACGGACAACAATAATCGCAGCAACGGAATTCGGTGGAAGAAAATATAAGAATCACATTTATAACGGATTTTGTACGGATTTTTTTTTATTTCATTGTTTATTTTTGTTATTTTCATCGAAATCGTCGAAAAAACCAAACATATAGTATTAACGTGTACATACCTAATATTATTTGTACTTATCGTGTGATGATGAATTTTTTTTTATCTATACTATACTTAGTCAAACATATACAAACATATTTACCTAGTCACAATGTTTAACATTCGAACTTTCGTCAACTATTTTGGACTCTTGTTTGTAAATATTAAAGCTAATATTATTATCATAATTATTATGTATTTTGATTATTATTCAATGATGCATTTCATTCCTGACATGATTATTTTCGGTTTATAAGTACTATAAATTGTTAGTTAATAATATTATTGGCAATTTAATATATTATAAAGTACATACATAGTATTAAGTTTTCTAGATTGTATTAATTTTAATGGTAAAAACTATGCTGCGGCTTTAAATATTGACAGCACAAATACACATTACATAATATGTATATATTATAGTCTGTCAATGTGTAAATAATCAAATAATTATTTAAACGATTTTAGGTACGATAGGTACGCATATTATTTATGTATAATATAATTATCTTAATAATATTTAGCACACGAAGTTGTCATACATATTGATTGAATAATAACTATGTTTCTTAAAGATTTAGGTATAAAAATGCATAATAATGCATTTTAAAAATCCACGTACATGGAATGTATCTATAACTTCAATGTTACTTTTAAAAACCACTTAAATAACGGTAGGTAGTAGGTATATCATTATTTAGATAATGAATTTCTTATTAAATAAACAATTATATATTTTGAACTTTTAATAGCCAATAATATTTATTAAGACTAATTTGTATTAGGTAGTGTATAAATAATTTCTCTGTACGAAGTTTTTATAATTATTTTATGCCATTTGTATAGAAAATAATAACAGAAGTGTTAAATCAAAATTAATACCTTTACACTGTCAGTGAATAATACACGAACAGTAAAATAATAGAAAATAAAATTTTAACAGTTTGTTTTAATATTTATATGGCATTGTGGTGCGTGAATGAACATCATATGACGTGATAGTACAAAACACACACAATAATTCACTTTTAGTATTGTCGGCCAATTAAATGTTGTAATAAAATATATATAGCTGTAAACCTACTGTTGAACTGTGTAAGACGTAAGTAATGAATTAGCGAAAGTTGAATAATAATGTAGTGAAAATATGTATCTGAACTTATTTTGGACAGTAATAATAACTTTTAAGTAATAGTGGTATAACACTATAACGACAACATAAATCTGTAATAGTACCATACACGTAGAAGTAAAGTACAATAATAATTAAAAGACATTAACGTTGGCACTTCAAATTAAGTAGGGAGATTAAATTGAATGCAAACGATTAAAATGTAATTTAAACAATGAATCATATTAAATAGTAAATTTGTCAATGTGATCAGAACCATTACAATAGGCAATATAGGTATATAATTATTTTTTGCACAGTCTATGTAAAAAAAAAAAACAATTACTCTAGATGACTTAACGTAAATGAGTTTATGTTTGTACTGTATTTATAACTATATGACGCGAGATTTTATTTTTAAATGTCTTATACGATGGTACTACAACACAAGTCGGGCGGATACACGATATCGTTTATTATATATTTTTTACACGTTTAAACGCGGAACATAAATTGATAACATTTAGTTGTAGACACAAGACACTCTCTTTTTGTGTACATTAATCATTTTGATATATTATATTTATTACTTAAACGCCCCCCTCTCCTAGCATCCGTCTATTCGGAACTTGGCCAAAGCACCTTTATACACAACTTTGCAACAGAGCAAAAACGTATTAATCATCAGTCAGTCAATGTTCAGCTTAATAGACTCTAGTATAGTCATATACTATTGTGCTTCACGAATTAATTATCACGATTACAATGATACAGCTCGAGGGTACAAAGAAAATCAATAACTCCATGATGACACGTCGGACCAGACCGTTCAGACCTTTTTAAGTTTATCAACCGGTAGCATTTAATACATTTTTATAAAAACGTAGATATTCCATAATTATTTCATATAGTATACATGTTAATACATAATAATATACAATTATTTCTTATCTTTTTGTCACGTTCAAACTGTAGGTACAGTTTTTCAATTAACTTGGTCGTCACTCGTCACGTAGAGCAATGAATAGAACAATATTATATACAGCCATTTCTATAAAGGCTAAAAAAAATTTAATTTAATCGACGACAGCAAAATGAAAATAAAAACACTTTGACCGAGAAAAAGAAACGGAAATGGCAAACGCATTTTGACGTTGAAAAGGAAATATAGTTCAAAATTATTAATACTCCAATACGTTCCAACAAACCCGAGATGTCAATGATTGCGTTTAAATCAAACGAGACCAAGATAAAAAAAAAATTGAACGTTTTATATTTTACACTTTAAAATCAATAAATGTTATTCAGTATGCAGAGCTGACATTGTGTTTGGAGGGGAGGCGACGAATGCATTCCGTATTCAAGATGGTACATCGAAGAAAAAATTCAAACTGACTAAAGGAGAAGAACGAGGAGAAGACCGATAGATATATGAACGAGTTTCAGACTGGTCAGTGTTTTTTTTTTCAAATCAAAATATGACGATTGATCATATTTCTATTGAGTAAAATGCATTGTTTCGGTTTTATGAATACAATATTATAATATTATTATTTCTTATTAACTGTTACGCTGCTAAAATTGCCATAGTAGCCTTGAAATAGTTTTATTAAATTTCCATCTAGTACTTTTATGTATTATAATATAAAAATGAATGTTTTAGTCAAGACAGAAATAAAAAAATAAAAAATAATAATGAAAATATATTAATTTAATATTAATCAGAAAAAAATTTTTTCTCACTGAAAAATTTGATACAACAGTTCAAATATTGATCTGTTAAAATGTACGTTTAGTAAACTAATATATTTGTCACAGCAGTTACTACTATAAATTATAATCACGAAAACTACTTCACACATTAGCATACATAATTAGAAATAAAATATTATGACGTGTGTATACGTTGTAACTATAAAGCGGGAATGAAATTTAAATGAAAATTGAATGCGTTGTGAAAATAGAATTTTTTAATATTCTAAAAGGGCAGTGTTTGAAAAATGTTTTAATTTTGTCATTGTTGTAAGATGTAGTAATATTTATAAAATGTTTTTGAACCCATAAAGTTTTATTTAACGGCTGTATATAGTATATTATAACTATATGAACAGAAGAAAAAAACATCTATAAAAAACACATTTTATCACGATATGGTGGAATTCAAAACTATGACGACTGCTAAAGTGTATATATTCCCTACAAAAGTGTGTAATGCAAGTTAAGACTATATTTATGAAGTATCCCTTTCGAGCTAAATTGAAAACGTAAAATGGTTTTTAACCTTCAGATGTCAGGAATACTTGGCCACGTATATAGTAGAGTATAGTGTTAAAGTGACGCAGACTGTATTTCATGAATAATTTATTTTTAACACGGTAGAACAAAAGTATTTGTATATTTGCTAACTATAATAATATAGCCTTTAAAAATAATACTTTCGGTGTAACTCTATAGTTGTAATATCTATGTACAGTAATATAGAATATTGCATACAATACTAGTTACTATACTGTAACGCGGGTCGATCGTAATATTCATAATAAATAATAAGTCGAGTAATAACTAATAACCGATGTTTCGGCAGAAAAATTACTACTTAGACGCCCCCACACTAACCTTTTTCACAAAGACAAATTGCTCCTACGCTATTCTTTTGTATGTCAAGCATTCGGTCGATCTTTATCGATTCTGAAGTCAGTTAAAATACAATGCTGCAAGTGTCTGCGTGTTACGGTATTAATATCGTTTTTATCAACAGCTTTGTCTATCACCCTATAGAGTGCACAAGACATTTATAATTATTTATAAATACACAAACTGAAAATCCGATTAGGACTCGAGATTTGTCGTATAGAAAAAAAACTACTGACGCGTAAACAATATGCAATACCATATATTAGAGTCGTCCTTGGGCAGATAACGATAACCCTCGTCTACCTCAAAAACACCGCGAATCGGACGGTGATGATAATAACTACACAAACGTTTCCAAAATCAGAGAGATCTGCAGCGACGTAATAATAAATTAGGAAATCTATCCAGTAGAGACTATTATAGGGACGCGGAACTCGGTGGCACGCGCTCGACCCACAGACACGACGTCTATGTCTCCTCAGTTGATTGGCGGCGTGCCGCGCAGATTCCCGCAGTGACTGTCGCGATAGAGTATACACATTTCCACCCTTATCCGTCGTGGTTTGGAAGAGTTGATAGGGGAGAGAGGGGTGGATATTGTTGAGCGAATGGGGGTTGTAGGTGGAGCTTACGCGATCAAATTTGCACATTTATTCGTCGGTTTGCCGCGTTTACCGATAGTATAATATCACCACCGTTCATAATAATTAATACGTACAAATTTACTACCTATATTGTCGGCGTGTAGGTACTTGTTGGAGAGATTCCGAATAAAACAGCTGCGGAAAAAAAATTGATTTTCTGAAACACTCGGCCGCGCTTTTATTTTATTGAAAACGTTGAGTGGAAGTTATACTATTATGTGTGAAATATGCGAGGCACCTCGCCCTCGTACATGCCAAGGCGGTGTGGGCTCGGGTCGCGAGAAAGCAGGGTCGATGGTGTGGACAAAAAACGGCTCGGGAAAAGTGTGCACGGCAACTCTCTAGAACAACGAGGATAAAATATAACGTCGTCTGGTTGAAGAGGAGAGGCGCGAATAAAACAAGGCACATTGAAAAATATTGGCTGACGTAGTCATGAATGCTTCACGTCGACGATCGGAGTTACTATCGGCAAAAATCTTCCGATCGCGTGTTCGGTGTTCGGTGTTCGTGTACTAATAATAATAATAATAATAATAATAATAAAAAAATATCTAAAAACAGTTGTGGACGACGTGTGCGAGTGGATATTATCGCACGCACCGATAATTAAAGAGGCTCGAGTGCGTGCGTCAGTGACGGTTTTAGAAGCCGTGGAAAAAACTAAGAATAAAATGAAGGTTTTGAATTTCCAGAGGGGGTCCCCCGACGACCGGGTCTGACCGAAGAAGAGACACATTATTGTTGTTGTTGCAGTTGTACATAATAAATTGTGGCACGGGTATAAAAACAAAAAACCCAGATAAGAAGAACCGACGATTGCACGTTATTATGGTTTTTTTTTTCGTCCCTTCTTGTTGTGTCTCATCGTCAACACCACCACGACGCCACGGTCGTAAAGTGAGACGAAACGGCCGAGTGCAAAATAAAAAAAAAGAACTTGGCTATACCTACAACCAGGTATAATAGTTAGACCTGCTGTGTCATCACTGGAATGAAAATTAACACCGGGTAGTATAGGACGACGGCCACTGTAACAATATTATGTACTTTGCCGTTTAAAATTGCCAACACGCACGGCTTACTAATCGCTCGAGTTGGTTATTTAACCAAATTACGAAGGCGTGTGTTGTACTGAACAGCATTTCACGAGATAAAACTTCGAAAGTGCATGATAGGTATTCTAGGTATTATGAGTACGGGGTAATCGTTTTTTACCCCTACATGTCGGTAGAATTTACTTTTTTTAACGCTGCAATTACGACCCAAAAGTACTATATAAAAACTAGCAAACGAAAAATATTGTCTTGTTGATTCACGATAATAGATTAGATTGTTTGCAAGTTTACAACACGCGCGCATAATATTATTATACACACGACGTACAGGGCGTATTAAACGCGATGTAGGTATACAAACCAAAAATAATAATTTATACAGAGTGCCCGATGAAATCGCAAATTGCAAATTGTTCAAACAGTCGGTCGTTATTTTTATATGTAATCTGATTTTTCGCACCTAAGCCATATTATTATTATTATTATTACAGTCTCGGGGCATGGGATAAACGCGTACGATGATGTATGCGATACACCAACTTTACATTAATTGAAAACGTGCCGAGAACGTTGCAGCTACTGTGTTTACAGAAACGGCGAAAACGAGCAGCAAAATATATTATACCGTTACCGCCTAGACGACGCGACTGTTGTTTTACGTACGCGACGTTAAATATTATTATGGTAAAACCGGTACAGGGCGAAAAATTCGTGAAAAAGTCAAACGGTATCGCCACTATCGTAATACTATTGATGATTACTATATTGTGTTCTGCGATTTTAATAATATTATATTATAATTATATACCTATCGCATAATATAAGATACTCACAATTTTTCGAACATCGTACGGCCAATAATCATTCGAGTTCGAAAGGACTAAGCCACTGAGGAGATTGACGAAAAAAAAAATTGAACACGATCGCGTTGAGACGATAATATTATCGAATGGAAACGACGAAAACTACGTAAACGCTGTCGTCGAACGGTTGGTGCGCACTGCGCAAGTGAAGACGGTGGTTGCGGCGGCGGCGGGACGGACTGTTGAAGACGACGATGACAACCACGGACAAAGGGCGACAGGCGATGGACCCGACGCACGCAGAACCGAACCTCTTTGGCGAGAGAAGCAGTGGTCGTTGTTGTGACGGAAAAAACCGACCGCGGTTGGACTGGGTTGGTTTGGTTACTGCAGCTCCCGTCGACATAAAAATTACAGCATTTACACTATATGCTCAATTATTATTTATTGATAATGCGTAATAATATTTTAGTTACGATACGATATCGGTGGCCAATGGCATCCCTCCATTACGTAAATTGCCTTTAAATCCTATTTATGTTTTTTTTTTTTTTTATATATACACGATATTCCCCGTAGGCGCGTTAAGAATTATTTATCCGAACGAAGCGGCCAACGAAAAAAATATCGTGGTATTGCGGTACAACGGTTTCGATTTATTTCAGAGGATTTCAACGAACTTATATATATATACTACAGTAACTTATTGCGTTGTTTTTGGCTGCGGTAACGGCAGGCATAGGCGGGGGTGGGGATTTCGAACGGTTTTGCCGGCGAGGAGATTACGACTACTGGCGTGGATTTTATGCGGTATACACTCAATTATATTTGCGGCGTTTTAAACGTCTACGAAACTCATATATAGCCGTGAAGATTAACCAGAAAAACGCGAAGCGCAAAACACACACAGAGCAATCGAATTACTCGAGTATAATAATATTATTATGATCAAAACAAATAGGGGCGATTAATTTAATTGCATATAATAACATTAACTTATAGTAACATATTATTATTATTATGTAAGCGGGGTGGGTGTTTTTTGCTAATTTAAACACATACGTTATTATTATTTTTCATCTGGATTTCACTTAAACATATAATTTAGTATAATTTTTGGAGATATGCATTCTGCATCATACGTTTAAATAGGATTCTTGGTGGGAGGGGGCTAAGAATGAAAAAAACTTATAACAGAGGTAGTTTGAGTATGGTTTGTATTACTTTTTACGTAAGAACACACGAGTATTATAGTAGACCACTATACCAAATGATAATTTACATTTTACACTAATATCAGTTACAATCTTTTGTAGTTGGTAGTATAGGCACTAAGCTGCGCCTAACCTAACCTGCACATATTGTCTAGATGTTATGAAAGAGGCAAAAACTTTCGAAGAGTAGACTTGTTAAAAGAATAAGGGGAGGATATAATATGCTGATATTATTATGTATTATAGAACACTTGAAAACACGCAAAAATGCTCTGTACATAGGACCGTATGGGCACTATTTAGTAATAATGGACTTTGCTGAAGTACCGACAACAATGATATTATAATATGAGCATAGAAGTACGGTATAATTTTATGTACGTCATTGTTGATATTCACGTACATAATAAAATATAAGGACAACGAAAAACTGCGTAGTGTTAATTTTTCTCGTTTTTGACACACAAGTTTTGTAGTAAGAAAAATCAAAAAAAAATCACAGACGTCATAATCTGAGCTTATTGTTCTTATACACTCACGTACCTACGGAAAATCTACAACAATAATAATAATAATAATAATAACAACAATGATAATAATGATATAACAATATATGATGCTCGTGACGCGTAGCGTCTGGCACGAAATCTATAGGGTCAAATTTATAGCGTGCATAGACGACTTTTATCAATATCAATATGTAGCATACTACTTACTAGCATACTGACAGCGGAAACAGTAGTACTGTAGCAGTATACCATATTACATTAAACATTTATTCAGAGTTTATATATAATACTATAATAGTAATACAATTACGGTACTGCACATAATATAAACTTATATTATACAAATTGTATAATATAACTTGGCCCATAGGCATGCGCAGTCTCAGGTCAGGAGCAGCAAATATGTTTACCATCACATTTTCCGTTATAAACGGGCAACAAAAATGAATTGTCATTTAGGCTTAAGTTATTAACCATCATATAACAGGTACATTATGAGTGATAATACAAATTTTAATATTTGAGTTGTAATAGTTGTATAATAGGTACCTAACTAGTCGACTGACCGATCTCTAAAAATGTAAGTTCAATTTTAATAAAAATGTATTAGGTACCTACATCGTTAATAGTTGGTCGCAGCGTGCGTACTATACTTTTTTCATTTTTTTTTAAATATTAAATTTTCTTATGAAATAAAAACAAAAAGTAATAAGGACGACAAGAGAAAAGAATACAAAAACATGAATCACATGAAAAGTGGACCATTCAGAATCTCAGAAAATTTGTACTATACTGCATGTATCAAAACTAAACTATTCAGGTCTGCAGGCAACCGGTCCAAGTCTGCTTTTATACAATTTGACTGGCACAAACCACTGTCCCCATATACATTATACGCATATACCTTATGCATTATATACCTATAATCTTATATGCATTGTATATTATTATTGTTTACTACATTATTATTATACACTTATTATAAACGGATATTACGGACATGGATCGAACTATATAAAGAGCGGATATGCGCGTATTATTTGTCTGTGAATAGGACATATGGCCACATATATAGGTATAAATCCAAAGGTTTGAGGCTACCCCGCACGCATAAACACGGACAGTCGCCGCCCTGGGTTCTCTCGGTTGAACTCATCGCGGGTTCACGGCTCAAAAGACGATTATGATAGGTAGGTTACACCGAGTATACCTAGTAAATACCAGCTCGAGGCTTGCGTATTATATACACCGTGTTATTATATGTTACATTATAGTCGGCATCCCCAGCCTGGCCGATCGATACACGATATAATACGACGAAGAGGAGATGATGGTGGTACTCGGAAACCGCGTGTCATGTGTGTGAAAAAAAAGACATAAAATAATAAAAATTAAAAATTAAATAAACGAGAAGAGATTGATTTGTAGCGATTGATTGCGATGCAAGTTACACCGTATATAAATATATACTCCACTATAAAACTTCCACAGAGTATCATCGTCTGTTGATATTTTTATTGTAACTATATAGGTAGTTATAATAATAATACCTGCAGATCAATAAATGTTTTAAATCGATATTAATCATTGCATGATATAGGAACACAACACGTTTAGAATCGATGGTTACCAAAATGAGAAATAAAAACGAAACGACATCCTCACAGAACTATAGCTGTACTGCCTCAAAAATATATATTATATAAAGTTCTGCAACTTTATTATGCATTAAAACCGTACATTATACGCCGAGCCTTTGCAGCGTACATATACGTCGAGTATAGTATCGATTAACTGCAATTGCTTTTATAGTGGATGCGAATAGCCATTAGCTTAGGATACATTTTCTACATACCTACAGCTTTTATATTATTATTATTATATAATATTGCCTAGTATTCAGTCGAAATATAAGGATATGGTTGGTTAAATATAAAATCTCGTAATTTTCTAAGGTAATACGAAAGTTGTAGAAAAAATAAAAATAACAAGTTTGTGACGTATACGGATTACGAATACAACATTTATAATATATATGTATCAACTATATTATATTATATACGCACAAAATCTAATCCTACGGTGTCCGAGTGTGCATTATGGGCAGTATCCTCCGAGCTTAAAATACTCAGAAGATTACGCTAAATTTGAATAGGAAAAAATGTATGATTCGTAAAATATTTTTTTACTTTTCTGGTCCTTTTGTGTTTGCATAACATAGAGTTGCCCACTGCACAGGTTAATCAAAAACTGTATTTCGTAAAACTAGGCCGAGGGTTCGATTAAGATTATTTTTATGTATCCGCAGCACTATTTTTTGATATGAAATTCTGATCACGTTGTTGTAGTAAATTGCACATTCTCGAGATAATCTGTAGAATTAACGAGATAAAACAATGGCTATTTTCGATTTGAACGCATGGGTGAAATATAAAATTAGCAAATACTCTTTTTCCGACAACATTCGCCAAGTAAACAGGATGAATACCTCGTGGACGAGGTAACGAAAATGCTGGAAATGAAGTCTGCTAAGGTTCTAAAACTTAATTTAACGTAACTCAACTGGAAAATCAATTACAAAATATCACACTTTAAAATTTAAATTTTTGTATTTACTATTGATTTCTTACATTTATAAGGGTTTATTGTAAAGAATACGTATACCTACAGGTATAAAAGGTTTATTTCTGCAAATACTATAATACATTTATACGCATAATGTCTTTACGCACAGGTCAAAATAATTTTAAGTTATGTGATAATGAGTTATTCATATTATATTATATTAAAGTTATTTTTTTTATATCAATATTATCGTTTAAAATAATTTGGTATAATTTATGGCCATAATTTTGTACTCAACACATAAATTTAAAAATGTAATAATACTTTAAGCAGAACTTTTAGTCTGTATCGAGTAATAAATCATAATATTTTAATCTTTTATTTAATACCAGCTCGAATAACCTCATTTACCAAACGTGCAAAGAGTAATGTTTTAATTTTCAAAAGATATTTTATAATGGCTTAGATATTAAGTAATAATTACTTTTTTGATACTTAACGTTAATATTTAATACAATATAGATTAACTTAACTAGCACGTTGAAGTCAAAGACCTGAAAGGTATTTAATTTAATTATCGTAAAATAAAAATATTATAATATAATTATTTCGAATGCTTATTACCTGTTGTACGTATTATTAATTATTATTACAGTTTGATGTTTATACATTACATATTATTTCATATTTATCAACATATATATAGGTATTTTTAATTGAATTAAAGTTTAACATTTTCCACCAATTAACTTAATCTGAGTTTGTTTAAACATCCATAGACAAATGCACAAATTATAAAAAAAATAATTTGGAATTTATTAAGACTTCTTTTTAGTATTTTAGAAATTAAATATTTACGAAAATACCTAAATATATATAATTATTTTAATTATTGAGTATTTTAATTCACATTTTAATTACAAATATTATATACATTATACATGGTATGATGCATAATATTCACACCATTGGTGGAGGTTCAGTTCTCTTAAATATAAATGTAGTACTTTACTCTATATACTTGTAATATGTATACAATTTTTTATAAAATGCATTAATTAATAATAAAATCTAATAGGTATTCTAATCTATAAGATGATACCTAATGCGTGGAAATATTATACTTAAGGCAATTAATTCCTTTTTTTTTTTTCCATTTTAGTTATAAATCCA